CTGCGCTGTTTTGTTTTTTTTTTTTTCTAGTTGGGAACTGGCAGAGTTCTAGCGAGTCTGAGATGGTTCCCAGCTGCTGATGAGGAGGAAGAAGGGCCTGGCTTCCCAGGCATGGGAGGTAGAAGATAGAGGAAGAGGATTCCAATCTATGCCAGGCAGGGTCTACTCCTGGTCAGGCCCAGGAGCCCTTGCATGGGATGGTTCTGGGTTCGACCACAGATGGTGGTGGCGGGGCCTGAGGAAGGCGGAAAACCCAGCCCATTCTGGGCAGACTCTCTTTTTGGCTTCCTGCCTGGTGTCATAGTGTCCAGGAGTTGATTAGTCTGCAGGAGCAGAGAGGCTCCACTGAGCCCTGATGGTCTGGGGCTGGAGGAGCCTGTGAGAGTTGTTCAAAGAGTTCTGTCCTGACTCCTTTGGAGTTTGGCTTCAAAGAGAGAGCTTCTCAGGTTGCAGCTTCAAAGGCCATTGAGAAGCAGAGACTTCATCCTTAGGGTCAGTGTATGAGGAACTCATACAGTATGAGGATCCTGCTCATCAGTCCCCGCCAAGTGCATTGTTTCTGGTTACCCCAGAATGCTTAGGAATTGTGCCTGTCCTTTTCCCCACTCCCTCTCCACTTTTATTTAGACTTTAAGTTCTAACATGGCTATATTCCACCCAACCTGTGTGCCCCAGCATTTGGCACTGGCTTCTTTGCTAATCTCCCAAGGAAGCTGGGGCTTACTCTGTTATCTCCAGGTAGAGCCTATCCAAAAATGGAATAGGATATGCATTCCTCCCCTACCCATGAGCCTTGGGCCCTCACTTTCTAAAGAGATTCTTAACTGAGGAGTGATTTTTCCCTCTAACTCCTCATTCTCACTCCTCCCTGTAAAGAAAAAGGGTCTGGGTATTGACAGAGATAGACCTGGTCCCAACCACTCCCATCTTGCTTTCCCACATGGGGATTCATGGCTCCAAGGTGTTGCTGAGGGGTCCCTGCATCAGTCATTCCATTCCAGCCCCTGGGCTACCTAGCTGAGGGCTGGCCTTGGAGCCTCCTTGTGGGCCTTTGGCCTGAGAAGGATCTAAGGAACAGATAGGAGCCTCTCCATTTCCTTTGCTGGAAACCCATGGGCACTGTGGCCTGTGGAATGCCCCTGAGAAAATGAATTCCACAACCATACGTAGGGAGTGGACTAGGGCCAGTGGCAAGGTTTGGCTGGCTGGCTGGCTGGGTAGTCCCAGGCTGCTAGGGTTGGGAACCAAGGGGAAGGCACTGAGCTTCTGCTTCCCCAGGCTTTCTAGCCCACCAGCTTTTCATCACCTCCTCTTCTTCTGGGGAGGGGCATTAGAGGTAGAAAGGGAGAGGGAGGACCCAGTTCACTCTGGCTAAGTTTGAGGGAGATCTTGCTTGGCCTCTTTCCAAGTCCAGTTGTGTGACTTCAGGAGATGGGACTTGAGATCTCAGGAGCAAAGGGGTTCCTGTCAGAGCACATGGGGTGAGCCAGAAGAGCAAGGGTTTCAGGGCCCAAGTTGGGCAAGTAGGGGAGCCAATGAAAGAAGGGAAGTGACGACCCATCTCCCTCCACACAGTGGAAGGAGTTCTAGCTGTGGATCATACTCAACGGAGGAGCTTAAGGAAAAACAAAACCCAAAGAAACACAGATTGTTGGGTTCACTCCAGAGTTCAAAATATTTTCTAGTTAGGGAGGGGTATGTTCTCTTCTCCTAGGCCCGGCCACCAGGAGCGCCAGGGCCACAGGCTTTGAGGCAGGGCTGTGTGTGTGCTCTCTGGAGACAGCAGCATCAGGCCCAGCCACGCGCTGCTGCTGTCCTGGGTGGTGGAGGTAGAATCACACTTAGGTCGTGGGCTGCTGCTGGGCTAGGGAGAGGACGTTGTTGCACACTTCCGAGGTTCAGGGCACTGAGCCAGGCCTACCTCGCTCAACTGCAGGCGAGGGACTTATAGAGCTTGAGAGGCCTGACCTGGGCTTTGTATTTTTTTTTTTTTTAAACTCTTGGGGTTTTTATTTTGAAGAGGAGTTACTGGTGCTTCAAAGAGCAGGTGTGGAGCTTGGCAAGACTAAGCTGGGACTAAGCAACCTTCCCCTGGGCCTCTTCTCCCTCTTGGGAGAAGCCTGGGGCCTGGGGTGAGCTGGGGGCCCTGCGCCTGGGAAGTTTGGAGCAGATGTCTGGGAGGGGCCTATTCCAGGCCCTGCCCCTGCAGCCTTGACTGGGGACTTCCTGCTACAAGAGCACCTGCCTAGGAGGGATGGGTGGTGCCGAGGAGGTTTTGTGAAAGTCCTAGTGAGCGGCTTCTTGGGGACCTCAGGGCCCTGTCTCACTCTGTGCAGGTCCCACTGCTCCAGCTGTTCTTGCCCTCTGGCTCATGTTCAGGGTGGGGAAAATATGTCTAGCGTGTCTGGAGCCTGGGTTTACAGCTGTGGCCACACTGAGTTTGTTTCCTGTAATCTCTGGCCATGGCTCATTAAGGCCGAGAAACAGGCTGTCCTTTGCCTTTCAGCAGCTTGGACAAATCTCTTCGCGCAGGCCTCCTGAAGCCCCAGAGTCCCCCACGTTCAACTCCATTCCCCCAGAGGGCTTTTCCCACCCTACTTCCCCTTTGCCCTTCCCTGCATCTCTGGGTCACTTTTCTTCATCTCTCCCTCTGGTCAGGAGTCTGACCCTCTGTGCTGAGGACATGAGTTTGGCGCTAGATGAAAAAGTGGGGGGAAAATTCTCATCTCCATGATACCGGGCTGGGGGTAGGAGGTTCTCTGATTTGGTGCAAGTCCCCACCTAGCCTGGCTTGGTGGGGTAGTTGTGCTGGTTGCATAATCTGGGCCCTGGGGCCAGCCCTGTGAAGCTGCCAGGGACAGTGTGTGCAAAGCAGAGCTGCCAAACAGGCCTTGCAGGCAGCAGCTATGGAGGGGGAGGCGG